CAGTGGAATTCATACCAGTACTTATTTTTAAAAATAGTTCTGTCACTGCTAAAAGATAAAAGCATGAGTCCCTAAAGTATAATCCTAATGCACTTCTGCTGAGTGATAGATGTCTATTGATCTCTGCGTAGACAGGAAATCAGATTAGCCTGTGTAAAATTTCATCAGGGCTGTCAAAGCCTGTGATCTACAGCACTGATAGTCTATTGTGACAGTTGGTTGTGTAGTAATATCTGGAATTTTCTCTTACTCATTTGTCTGCCTAGCTGGATGTTGAGACCTGGCAGCAGGAACAGCCTGTGGTACTACATACATGGACCAAAAAATCTGCCCATAACTATGAAAATAACTGCCATGAAGTATCTGTCTTTGTTAGCCAAGGGGCAACCTATTTTTAAGTGGAATTTGATGAGATGTGTGAAACCGAAAAGTGCTAAGACTCACATGTTTTTTCTTCCAAGCAATAGTGGATCAAAAACAAGAGAAAGAATATAATAGAGATTATGCCTTCACAGGTATGATTATCTGGAATTTACAGACTCTAGAGGTGGGAAGACACACTTTGGCACAAAAGTTGGTACTAATAAGTGGCCTAAGGTAAGTCATATTCCCCAAACAAGGTAAATAAGTACTTCTGTAGCAATTCTTGTCCTTTTTCCAACTTTAGAGCAATAAAGGTATGGTGTTTGGAAAGAGAAGGACTAGCTAGGCTCTGGTGGCTCATGTTCATATTGTTCAAAATCCTAGCTACTCAGCAGGTTGATATTTAAGGAATAAGATTTAAATTTAGCCTAGGTAGACAAATCTAAGAGAGCCCCATCTCAACCACCAAAAAACCAGAGTGGAGACATGGCTTGAATGGTAGAATGACAGCCATGAGCAAAATAGCTGAAAAAGACTCAAAGCTCTAAGTACAAACCTTAATTCAGGCACATTTCTAGAATGTAACCACACCCATATTTCTGACGGTTGCTTTGATACTCTACTTGTAGAGAGGAACAGTTGCAGTAGAGATTATGTAGCCCACAAAAGCTAAAAATTTAACTATCTGGCTCTTCATAGGAAATTTGCTAATACCCAGTGTTGTCCAGAGTAAATTAGAGAGCTGTTAATCTGAGTTCAGAAGGGCCAGTGGATCCAAGAGAAAGACTTAAACCATGGTGAAAGGTAGGAGCCCGGTTGACAGATCTGTTTAATATCTGGGCTGCAGCCTGCTTCAGACTGTTTACTTCTCTCTCCTATCAAGGGTCTTGGTTGAGAACAAAGAACTGAGCCAGTGATCACTGGTTGAGCAGATAGTCACTTGAGTTTTAGAAAGCTAAACAGCAGTTTTCTACTAATTTTGCTTTCTAAATGTAGTTGTGAGTTTTGTGTTTTGGTATCATCTCTGTACATTTCTCCCTTAGTAATTTTGAACTTGTAGAAATGGAGACCGCTTTTAAGATTTTTTTGAGTCACAAAGAACATACTTAATTGCTGAGTTGTTGCCTCCTTCCATCTTGTTGACCACATGACTTTTGTTTGTCTCTAGAACGTGACATTTAAGGATGGTCCTCTTTCATTCTGACAGCAGTAATAATGAATGGGGCTACAAATTCACCGTCACGGCCTATGGCCTGCCTGATGTTGCCGTGTCTTGTGGGTTAGACTTGCAACTCCTTGTTTCTCGACTAATGGGCCGCCTTGACTCCCAGTGCATGGCACTCAAGTCTGTGCATCGTAAGTTCACAGTCTTGTCCCTTCCTTTTTCATTACAACTGTGTTGAAGAGCAAGGTAGGAACTCTCTCTCATAGGTGGTCTCCACCTCACAAAAGAGCAAGGTATTGATAATGTTTCTTTTCATTTTTTTTTAAACCAAATCAAAGCAGTTTACCCACTGGGCACCATTGGGAAGTTTCTTGACTCAGGCTTTGGCCCTATCACAAAATACGTTGTGGATGCCCTCTATGGGGGACAATTGGGAAATTGCTGTTTATAGCAGCAGCATAGTCATTTTTAGAGATTTAAGTATACTCCAAGTAGAAGGTAGAAATATAGTCATTTAATTGTTGTTTAAGTGAAATTTATGTGAACATAAATAGGTATGTGAATATATATATATTATCCTAAAATACATTAATCAACTTCTTATCATTTGTTCCAAGGGATAGATTCATAGAATAAATCTTTTGGAGTATTTTATATCTATATAATTTTTTAAACATTTTTCTGATTGTAAAATCAAATATCATTCATCCTAAATGGTCACTTTCTGTTAGGTTTTTAAAAAGAGGTAGCTAAGGAAGTACAGCAGCATGTACATGGTATTCAGGTAAGGGGTAGGTTTATTCATCATTCCGGCTGACACCAGGCCATCTTGGAACTCAACGTGGTGGGGAAAGGACTGGGAAAGAGAGCTTGAAGAGCTGGGAATAAGAGAGAAAAGAGTTAGAAAAGAGAGCATCTGGGAAAGGTGGGAAAGAGAGAGCTAGGAAAGAGAAGAGACCTGGGAAAGAGAAGAGAAGGAAAGAGCTGAGAAAGAGCTAGAAAAGAGCAGAGAAAGGGCACCTGGGCCTGGGCTAGGCCTTATCTAAGGTATGGGCGAAGAAGGTTGTGGCCACATCAAATTCAGATGTGACCTCAGCAGATGCAGATGTGGCCTCTTCCATGTGTGCCAGTTGCCTAGATAATGCAAGTACTGGGTAGAAAATTTGCTGCGAGGAGGGTGGAGTCTGCTTGCCATCCAGGAGCAGACTTTACACTTTCCAAAGCCTGTTTGTCTAATTTCCCTTAGTTTCTTTTTTAAAAAAAATTTTATTGTGAAAATACTGTACAGAGGGGTTACAATTACATTGGCAAGGCAATTAGTACATTTCTTTTTTTTTAATTTAATTTAATTTTATTTGAGAACATACTGTACAGAGGGGTTACAATTTCATGGGCAGGATAATGCATACATTTCTTACCAAGCATTGCAGCCTCCTCCTTTGTTTACCCTTCACCTCCTTTCCCAGCCTCCCCCCTCCCCCCACCCAATCATACCACTCCCCCCACACCGACATTGTAAAGCTGGTTTTGACATGACATTTTGTACTTCTCATTGTTGCAACAGGTCCACCTGAATCCTTAAACGACTTGTTTGTCCCCATCTCCTCCACATGTTATACTGACATCAAATATAGTGAAAGCGGGGGTTACACTGTGGGGGAGGGACATACAAAGCAACAAAGAAATAATCTTATAAATGCGTTAGAAACACATGCATGAAAGAAACGAAAACATTAAAATACCTATTTAAGGGTTCGTTTTCCTAACATCACATTATCTAACCTTTTCCACTTGCAATTAGTACATTTCTTATCAAGCATTGCTGCTACCTCCTTTGTTTCCTCTTCCCATCCCTCTACTCCTCCCCACCACCCTGCCAAAGTTGTAAAGTTCGTTTTTCAACATAACGATTTGTCCATCTCATTGTTGTAATGGGTCCACCTATATCACTATTTAAACGATTTGTTTTTGCCCTTCCCCTCCACAAATTATACCAACATCAAATACAATGAAAGCAGGGATTATACCGTGGGGGAGGGACATACAAAGCAACAAATTAATGATCTTATAAATATGTTAGATACAATTGCAAGAAAGAAAAAAAAAACGTTTGACTACTTATCTTGGGGTTCATATCACCTAGCATCAACTTATCTGACCTTTTCTTCTTGTCTCAGACATAAACTAGTAGTTCAGATTTCAAACTAACAAATAAATGTAAGGAAGCCAACAAAAAATTCAGTTCCTCTCATCTGATGATGCCTCTACAACAATGAGGAAAGAGTTCATCCTGCTAAGGAACTATGATAGGATATCAAAAAGAGAATTCATTCTTCTAGGTCTTCCCTATTTTTGCAATGTAACTTAAATGATGTAAAACACAATATACCGCTCAGATACTTTTACGTTTTATCAGTTTTGCACATTTTCATATGGACTTCACCTTAGTCTACAACATTTCTTCATTATTCTGTCCCTGATATTTTTACACTACCAAGACATAAGAACATTTTCATATGATTTTTATTATAAAAAGACTGTACAGAGGTGTCACATTTATGAGAGCAAATAATGAGTACATTTCCTAACAAGCATTGTTCCCTCTTCCCACCATCGCTTCCCTCCCACCTCCACAAATACGCTCCCCTTCCCCCTTCTCCTGACTAAATTGTAAAGTTCATTTTTCAGCAGAGTGTCTTGTGCATCTCATTGTTACAATGGGTTAACCTGTATCCCTATTTAACCATTTTGTATTTCCCTTCCCCTCGTCAAATTAGAGAAACGTATACACAGGATGTAGGTGTACCAACTTCAAATACAATGAAAACAGGGGTTATACGTGCGGGAGGAACATATACAGAAACAAAAAAAATCATATCGCACATCATAAGTACGTTAGAAACAATAACAAGAAAGAAAAAACATACTTGTGTCCCTGTCTTAGGGTTCATTTCCCTTAATATCATCTTATCTGCTCATATGCACATAGCTTTTGACTTATTCTGCTTATCCCAGACATATATTAGTTATTGAAAAAGAGGGAAACCACGGGACCTATGTTTCTTTGGACTTGGCTTACTTCACTTAATAAATTTTTTTCCAAGACTTTCCAATTCCTGACAAATTGGGCGATACCATTCTTTCTGATGGAGGCATAGAATTCCGTTGTGTATATACACCCACATTTTCTTGATCCATTCATCTACTGAGGGGCATCAGGGTTGGCTTTATATCAGCTATTGTAAATAATGCTGCAGTAAACATAGCTGTGCTGGTAGTTTTAGTATGGTCTTGTTTGTGATCATTTGGGTAAATGCCCAATAGTGGGATTGCTGGGTCATAGGAAAGCTTTATATGGAGTCTTTTGAAGAGCCTCCATACTGCTTTCCAAAGTGGTTGAACAAGTTTACATACCCATCAAGAATGCAGTAGAGTTCCCTGTGGCCACATACTCTCCAGCATCTGTTGTTGCAAAAATATGGAACATTTCACTAATTTGCATGTCAACCTTGCTCAGGGGCCATGCTAATCTTCTCTGTATTGTTCCAATTTTAGCGTATTTGCTGCCTAATTGAGCACAGAACATTTTTTATATATAAAGTGTAATTGATTTTCTTAAACTAGACAATTCAAAAAAAAGTAAGTTCAAAAGAATTCTTGTGAAATTTTAGAACCATGTATTTCTTTTTTTTTTAGCAATACAACAAATGTTAGAACCATGTATTTCTTACATAAGCACACATTTAAGAATAAAGTCAAGATTGGCATGTCAAAAACAAAATAATTCCAGATATTTGTTGTTCAAGAGATGTGTAGGAGGAGGAATTCAATTATTCTATACAAGGCACCTGTCATAATGAACACTGCAGCAAGTGTTAAGGTTTGTTAAGTTTTAAATGTATTTAATTTTGGGAATTTGCATATATATGCCAAAATTAGGACTGTTTGGCAGGTCATAAACTTTTCTATAAAGTATTTAAGGCTTATGGTAGCAGACATATGGTACTAATTATGTACATTTCAGAGTTCATAGAAACATTACTAATAAGAAGTTGCAAAGTCTTTGCGTAAAGAAGCCGAGTGAAGAGTTAAGACTTTGTTAACCATATAGTTTCTGTTAAATTTTTAGGGCTTCCTTACTTTACATGTTAGTGAGGAACAAATGATGATATAAGCCATATACAAATGATGAGATGAGCCATAAAAAGTAATCTTAGTGGTAATTTTAAAGACTACCCATAGCCTATAAAATTCTTTTTGATGGGCTGGGAAGGTGGCTCAGTGGTAAAGCGCTTGCCTTGCTTGCTTGAGGCCCTGGGTTCGATTCCTCAGCACCCATAAGCAAAAAACAAGCTGGAAGTGGTGATGTGGCTCAAGTGGTAGAGCGCTAGCCTTGAGCTGAACAGCTGAGGGGCAGCGCCCAGGCTCAGAGTTCAGGCCCACGACCGGACCCAAAATAAAAACCAAAACAATATCCTCTTTTTGAACATCATAATCTTAGCCAGTTTTAAATGCACAGGAATATGAGAAAATAGTACACTGGTAATTGTTCGGTTTTTTATTTTATTAATCATTAATATTTAATTGTCGGTTTTCTTTATTTGTTGCATTGTTTCCCTTTTTGTAATATAATACAACTTTTTATAAGTCATCATCAGGAGGTACATTGAGAAGCTTACTGTGATGGCCAAAGCATTTTTTATAGGTGCATGTGAGTTTACAAAGAAGAAAATTAAGAACAAAATATTTATTAAAAAAATTATCAAGTACAGTCTGAATCAGGAGGGATGATCAATGTCCACACCCAAAATCTTAGCCCTCGTCTGAAGCGGCGGTATTACAGAGTTGAGACTACAAAAGTGAAAGACATTTTGTGTTTTTTGTTTTTGTCAGTCATGAGGCTTTAACTCTGGGCCGGAGTGCTGTCCCTGCACTCTTCAGCTCAAGGCTGGCACTCTACACTTGAGCCACAGCACTACTTCTGGCTTTCTAGTGGTTTATTAGAGATAAGAGTCTCACGGACTTTCCTGCCCGGACTGGCTTTCAACCGTGATCCTCAGAACTCAGCCTCCTGCATAGCTAGGATTACAGTGGAGCCACCGGCACCCAGCATTGTTTTGTTGATTTTTATTTTGTTGGTCATGGGGCATGAATTCTGGGGCCTGGGTGCTGTCCCTCAGCTCAAGGCTAGCGCTACCATTTGAGCCTTCATCTTTTTCTACTTCTGTAGTGCTGAGGAATCAAACCCAGGGCCTCATGCATGCAAGGCAAGCACTCTACCATTGAGCCACCTTCCCAGCTCCTGAAAGGCTGTGTTTTAAAAAATCATCTAAACAATATTTGCTTTCTGCTTTGAGTTATATAATGAAATATATGAATATCTTTTTATATTTTTGTGAATTGTCATACTTCTAAATTTATACTAACTTCAGCCACTTTATCCTTTTCAAAGTCATGAAATATCGCTGAGAGATTTCTTCTGGGAAGATTGTATTTGCACTTATAATTTCTTCTGAGTCATTTTTATTTTTATTTATTTTTTATTTTTTTATTGTGAAAAAACTGTATTGAGGGGTTACAATTACATGGGCAAGATAATGAGTATATTTCTTATCAAGCATTGTAGCCTCCTCCTTTATTTCCCCTTCCCATCCCTTCCAAGCCTCTCCCCCATCCAATCCTCCCCCCCCCACACCAAAGTTGTAAAGTTCGTTTTCGACATGACAACTTGTACTTCTCATTGTTGCAACGGGTCCACCTGTATCCTTATTTAAACGACTTGTTTTTCCCCTTCCCCTCCACAAATTATACCGACATCAAATACAGTGAAAGCAGGGGTTATACTGTGGGGGAGGGACATACAAAGCAACAAAGAAATAATCATATAAATGAGTTAGAAACAAATGTATGAAAGAAAAAAAACATTTAAATACATATCTTAGGGTTCATTTTCCTAGCATCACCTTATCTGACCTTTTCTGCTTGACTCATACATTACATATACTAACTATTGCAAATGAGGGAAACCATGGGGCCTATGTTTCTTTGGGCTTGGCTTACTTCACTTAATATAATTTTTTCCAAGTCTTTCCAGGCCCATATCAAGCATTGAAAATAGAAACAGCAATAAGAGACCTCCCATCTAAGAAAAGTCCAGGACCAGATGGTTTTACAGCAGAATTCTACAAGGCCTTCAAAGCAGAGCTCACACCAATACTCCTCCAACTCTTCAATGAAATTGAAAGAGAAAGTTCACTACCGAACACATTCTATGAAGCCATCATAACCCTCATCCTAAAACCAGGCAGGGACTCATCATTTTTATTTTTTATCAAAATCATTTTATATTTTATGTTGATTGGTTATCATACATCAAATACCTTCAAATGTACATGTAGAGTCTAGAGATAGCAGTATGAATATTCTCATACAGCTCTTGTTTATCTGTTATGTACTTTCAGTATTATTGTACTTCTCTCTTTCACCCTTTCCATTCATGGTCTTTCTCTTTTGTGCTCCATGTCTGCTACTTAGAATTTCTGCTGGTCTATTATCCTTCAGAATCCACTGGTTTTGTGGGAACATGATAGGGACCAACAGTTTCCCCTGCATTTTTTAAGAATTATAAGAGTGATGTGATATTATTCTTTGCCATTCTAAATGGCAAAACAACAGATCTAGGAATTCCTTTTTACTTTTCTTCTATTATAAATTTTATCTCATAGGAATCATTGGGATAGATAAGATATTTTAACTTGTGACGTAAAAGTTCTTTTTCTTTTACAAACAACCTTTTTCTTTGATTAGCAGTAAGTAACTACATGTAATGAAAACAAAGCTATCCTATGGTAAGTAGACCGAAGTTGTTCACAGGGATGAAAAACAAGGTAATAGGGCAAGTGAGAACAAAGGATACCCATCATAGAGCCCAACTCCTCAGAGCAGTTTATCATGTACACTTTGTGAGAATGACAATGTGCTGGGAACTATTGATTAAATCACTGAACACTGATTTATATATATGTACATATGTTTGCATATGTATATTTATTTATATATGCATATATGTATGTATATGCCCTTATATATGTACACATGTATGTTACTATACACACAAATTCACACATACATATACACATGTATACATGCACACATGGAGAAAGACACATATTTACAGCTAACACAAGTTTCACTAGTTGTTGAATATGCCTTAGATGGAATGCTTGGAACAAAATATGTTGAAAATGTATTTGTCTCTATGAGTTCTTTTACCACTCCTCTTATCTCTTAAAACTGGTAGGTTTTGACAGATTCGACTTGCAAAATGCAGTACAAGTCACTTAGAAATCTCAGTAAGTAAAGAACATATGGTGTCTCCCACCTCCCTACAGAATGCTTGCTCTTATAGACACTCTCAACAACGAAAGTAGCAGGAAAATACCCTTGTAAAGAATAAAGTTATATATCTCATTGTTGCAATGGGTCCACCTATATCCCTAGTTAAATGATTTGCTTTTTCCCTTCCCCTGCACAAATTATACCTACATCAATACAGTGAAAGCAGGAGTTATACCGTGGGAGAGGAACATACAAAGCAACATAGAAATCATCTTATAAATATGTTAGAAACAATTCCATGAAAGGCAAAAAAAACAACAAAAAAAAACATTTGAATACTTATCTTGGGGGTCATTCCCCTAACATCAACTTATCTGACCTTTTCTGCTTGACTCAGACATACACTAGTTATTGCAAATAAGGGAAACCAAGGGACCTATGTTTGTTTGGGCCTGGCTTACTTCACTTAATATAATTTTTTTCCAGGTCTTACCATTTCCTAACAAATGGGGCGATGTCATTCTTTCTGATGGAGGCATAGAATTCCATTGTGTATATATACCACATTTTCTTGATCCATTCATCTACTGAGGGGTATCTGGGTTGGTTCCCTATCTTAGCTATGGTAAATAATGCTGCAATAAACATAGTTGTGCTGGTAGTTTTAGTATGGTCTTGTTTGTGATCATTTGGGTAAATGCTCAAAAGTGGGATTTCTGGGTCATAGGGGAACTCTATGTGGAGTCTATTGAGGAACCTCCATACTGCTTTCCAAAGTGTTTGAACAAGTTTACACTCCCACCAACAATGTAGAAATGTTCACTTCTGTCCACATCCCATCCAGCCTCTGTTGTTATTAGAGTTCTTTATTATAACCATTCTAACTGGGGTGAGGTGGAATCTCAATATTGTTTTGTCGAAAAACGAACTTTACAACTTTGGTGGGTGGGGGGATGACCGGGTGTAAGGGGAAGATGGGAAGGGATGGGAAGGGGAAAGAAAGAGGAGCCAACAATGCTTGATAAGAAATGTACTCGTTATGTTGCCCATGTAATTCTAACTCCTCTGTACAGTATTCTCACAATAAAAAAATAAAGTTATAAGGCACTAAATGGCATCCTTCCTTGAGCTATTTTCCAACAGACAGCATCAATTCCTAAGCAGATGACTGAGTCCTCAGAAGACTGGACCTCAGATCAACATTTAACCAACCCATGTGAAAAGTTCTATGAGGGAAATGC